GGGGGGGGGGCGGTGTGCCTGGGGACAGAGGCGTCCAGGTTTGCAAAAGTAGAGGGGCCCTCCAGACCGGGCCTCTGCAGATCCTGGGGGGGCCCCCTGGGGGAGTGCTGAGTGTCCTTCCCCAAGGCGAAGGTGGGTTCGTGAGGGGTGCGAAACTGTCCACGCTGGCTGCCCGACCTCTGACCAGCCATCACTGACACCACTGTCACCCTCGCTGCTGCGATCCCCCACTGTGTCTCCCGAGGCGCTGCTCCGGCTCTGGCTTGGGGGTCCTGACGTAGGGGTCCTCGCCAAGCCTGGCCCCCAGCGTTCCGAAGAGGATCGCCCACCCTTCTGACTCCCGTGGCATCTCTCCAATCCCCACTGGAGCTGGGAGGGGCGAGGACGTTGATCCCACGCCTGCCCCCGGCTCCCCCACCCCCATTCCCACCCCTAAGCCGTGGAGCGGAGAGAAGGCTCCTCCGTTCGTGCTCCCCGGCCGTAACCCCCAAGTTGCAACCAAAGTCTGCTGCTTGCTTCTGCCCCAGCTCCACCCCCTCGCTTTGCATCTGGGTGCTTGGCCCTACCTGCCCCCCACCCCCACCCTCCAATCTTGGCTGTCTGGCACCCTCGCTCCTCCCATCCCTGGGGGAGCTGGCCTGGGCCCAGCATAGCTGATGTTGTAATGTCCCTGGCGGTGCCGGTGGAGAGAAGCGGCTGGGCCTGTTCCCAATAAGTTAAACCGGGGCCAGGCCCTCCACCCGCCAGGAGAACTTGACTCAGGTTCCAGAAGGGGAGATGCTGGCTGGGTGGGAAGGTGCTGTGGAACTGTTGGCAGTGCGGGGAGATGTCCAGGTAATGGGCATTGCCTGATTGCGACTTGTCGTTTGTTGAGGGTGCTGTTCTGAGGGGCTGCTTGGTTCTTTCAGAGCAGTGGCCCTTTTTCCTCGCAGGAAGGCGAGGGTGGGGGCTTCTGTGTACCTACCTAGTGGCCTAGAGAGGGGACTCCTTGGGAGTCTGTTGGTTCATTCAGGGCTCAAGAAGATGGCTGGCAGTGACGATTATGTCACCAGGGTGCCTAGGAGCAACAGGCACCAGCGGTCTGAGCATGTGAAGGGCTGGAACATTCCTCTTCTCTGCCGGCCGCTTTTCCAGCTCCTCACCTTCTCCTGAGCTGGGCCCCAGGTCCCATGTCCCCGCCACACTCCCTCCCACTAGGTGGAGGCAGGTTGGCGGGGTTGGGGGGTTGAGGCAGCCTTGGTTTCCCTTTCTCTTCTTTCCTGTTCAGCTCGCACTCTCCCAGCCCAGATGTTTCGGCAGCAGCGACTCCTGGGGTAGAGGGCAGTCGACAGGCCCACTGGGCGTAGAGTGGGGACAGACCCAGGGTGAGGAGAAGGGCTCGTGGGCATCAGTATGAGGAGCACTCTGGATCTGCTCTGATGTGCATGCTCACGCGCGCACACACACACACACACGCACACGCACACGCACTCCTCCCAGCACGCGTGCTGCCCTGCACCCATCTCGCCTCACACACATTGCCTCACACGCTCTCGCACTTGCTCCCACGGGCACTGGTCCTGGCTCTTGGGGACTTCTACACTCTTCCATGTGCTCATCTCCCGCGGACACGTACTGACAGCACCAACATCCTCCCTTCCGCCCTTTTCCAAAGCCATGCGTGTGTCCGTGGTCCGTGCACAGCCAGAGTGGCTCAGTCTAAGTGGCTGTCTGCCACTCCCAGACACTGCCTGCATCTTAAAAGCCTCCCCCAGCTCCACAGCCTGGGAGTGGGAGGCACATTCGTCTGCATCTGCGTGCTCTGGGGGACATTCTTGGAGGCTGGAGGCCTCAAGGGACACAGGACTCTCCTCTGCTAGGTAATCCACAAATTGGCTTCTCCCACCAGGGCAGCAGGGGCCAGAAGCGCCAGAGGACAGCCACGTCCTCACTGTGTGCTCTGGATGCCGCTGTAAGGGCTGAGGGGATCCTTTTCAAGGCCGGCAGCCAGAGCTCCAAGAGACAGCGACTGAGACCATGTCCAAGGTGGAGATTAAAGGGTAGAGGCAGCAGCATTAAGCTGAGCAAGGATTATCCTGGAATTTCCTGGGCGTTTAACAGCTGCAGAACAGGACGAGGACAGGGACTGTGCTTCTGACCCCTCCCACGCTGACCCTGTGGCTAACAGGTGTGAGGACCTGTCACACCACACATTAACCATTGGGACCTCCCTTTGCCCTTGGGACCTCCCTTGCCCTGCTGGGCCCCGCAGCCTGCTTTGCCTCTCCGAATGTTCCCGTCTGGGCTCACTTAGTGACGATGCCCTTGTCTTGTGCTCTGAGTGTCCAGCCGCCTTGGTCCCCCCCTTGAAAGCTGCAGTCCTTTGCCTAGGACCGGGTAAGAGAAGCATGGTACTGTCAGTGGGGCAATTTGAACTTCTTCGGAGAGAAGCTTAAAGAAAATCCAGGGATAAAGTTATTTTGCTCATTTATTCCCAACTCCTACTGCCTCTTTCTCTCTGCTTTCTTCTCATAGATGAAAATCTCTAGATTATTTTGAAACCCAGAGAGAGAAAGGGGGTGGGGGGAGGATAACCTGTAAACATACGCTAGGTTAGTCTGGGTTTTGAAAATCTTTTCCTTTTTTTTTTTGTTTCGATGGTCATGATGAGATTTTGTTTTAATTGTAAAAATGAGATATGCTCGTTGTAACAAGGAAACCCATTGGAATATACCTAAGACATAGTTAATAACCCCCCACCTACTATCCTTCATTTCTCCCTCCTACAGGAAGGAACCAGTCTTAACGGCTCAGTGTATTTTCTGCCATACCTTCCTTCAAGCTTATTCATAAGGTTTATATCACTTAATGTTTTTAAGACTCATTTTGTGGATTGAGGTGCATAAACTATATTAAGCCATCTCAGTTTGTTCATAAAATTACCGTATTTAACATTTCAATTCGAGGACAGTTAATTTTTTAAATTCTTACAGATGTAGTCATTTAATGTATTTTTAAGCCTCTCATTTTTAAAGATAACAGAACTCAGAAGCTGTGATTTATAAGCTAAGAGTCTACACATCTTTCATCTTTGCCAGTTTCTGGAAACAAAACACAATTCTGATGCCTACGAACTGTCATATTTTTATAAACCAAAGAAATGTAGCAGGCTTGTGGATGCAGTGTGTCTACTATAGCGAAAAGATGTAAAGTGATATATGTAGAAAAGAAGCTGAGAAAAAAAATGTGAAGTCATAGAATGCAATTTTTGTCATATGAAATTTTGTCTAATCAGTCTTCTTTTCTGAGTTACCATCTTCCATCCACATTTCTGCTGCTTCTGGTGTTCTGTTTTTCAAACCATACACACATCTGAAATGTGAATGTTTCCCTGATTGGGAGAAGTTTTCTGCTCTTTCATGGCTTAAAGCGTTTCTCAGCATGGACCGGTTCCCTTCAGGAGCTCAAGAAGTTAGAGGGATCCAACGCAGGCCCACCCTCACACCACCCCCCTCCCCCCCGCCCCCTCCCCCCCCCCCCGTGTGGCAACAGGGATGCCCCGGACTGCTTCTAGGACACACTCCTAGACTAAATGCGAAAAGATGTCCTAGTCCTCAGCCACTGAAGGCACCTTTGAAAATCAAGTTCTAAGTCCTGCTTGTTTAGTATTCCAGGCAGGTGGATGGAGCGCGTGTTCTTGTCACTTACATTTCTGCCTTTGAAACTTCTTTCAAAAGAATCTGCGGTGGTAGGAATTAGCTGACAGCAGTTTCTTCCATATCTTAAAGTTTCCTCTTTCCTAATTTTTATTCTTGCCATAGAGATACACCCAAGTTCTTTTTATATATTAAAAAGGAAAAGATTGAATATATCTTTTTTTTTTTTTGATAAGCGAGAATTGACCTAACCTCCGAGTCTCACTCAACCAGTTTTTGTTTTCTGAAGGAACTCATTTATAACCTTCAGTCTTCTGGATCCACATCGAAAAGAGGTCCCTTCGGACAGCAAGGGACACTTCTGGGTACTTGAAGATCCTCAACCATTTTTTAGTGAATATCTTTGTTCTTGGCAAAAATCTGTACAACATTTGGAAAGTGGCAATCCACATGCAATGTCTCCATTTAATTCTTTTCTTCCTGATGCCTCTTGAGGACAGAAGCTGAGTGGCTTTAACGTGTTCTCTAATTGCTTTTGCTTTTGCTCTTTTCTGGATCCTCTGGAGACAGGCCAGCTTCATGTTGTCATTAAGATGCACGCTGAGGCTGTGCATACACGCCCTATTGTAGCCACAAGCGACTGTGTTGCTTGTATTGTGGGTCATCAAAGCAAATACTTTGCCATCCCTCATCTTCTAGAATGTTCCATATTGCGCAGCTGATATGATCTGCAGTATATCTCTTCCCTCTTGTTGTCTCCCCCACCCCCCCCAAAAAATTCATTGAGATGCATCCAAAGTGTTTATTATTCCTTCTCCATGATTATTTGTCTAGTTATAAGTTGAAGAAGACACAGTGCTTACAGTTTTTTCTTTGTTACATATTCCAGAATCCATCCATCTTCTGCCTGAAAGAGGCTATTTTGGAGAATATCTGCTGGGCAAATGATATAATAGCTTTCCTTGTTTAAAGACATTTTGCTGGCATTTTCAGTTCTTGATAGCAGCATTCCTAAAGACCCTATAGCGCTGGACAGAGTCTGGTCTGCCTTGGTGTGACAAGCATGTCTCCAAATTAAGCCACAGAGAGTTTGGGGGATGCAGCCACAACATGAGTTCCTTCAGGATATTTACTGAACAGCCATTGGTGGTGGGGCCCTGCTTTTTTACTTCACGGTCTCCCTGTTCTTTGAAACATTTAGTCTGTGAGTGATTCTAGCAGCATTGAGGACAGTATTTGCAAAGAACCTCTGTTTCTCAGGAATCATTTGCCGTGTGGCAATGCTTCCTTTTTTTTCTAGGTTTATTGAGAGACCATTGACGTATACCGTCGTGTAAGTTTAAGGTGTACAACCGGGTGATTTGGAAATGCTTCTTACTTGCTATATGCTCTAAGTTAAACTCTATCTCACAAGTAGGGTTCTAGTGGCATGAAAGGGAAATTTCAGTGGCTGATGGGCAGATACCCATTATGCACCAGCCCACACAGCTGCAAAAGCTGTGCCCTTTCATGACAACCACATGGGGGTGACACTGAAGGCTTCATCTTGCGAGACAGCCAGCATTGCCAGGGAAATTAGATTAGCAGGAATCAAATTATGACTTTCTTATTTATCGAAGTTAAATAGTGCAGTAGTTTGATTTTGACCTCATTATGAAATGTGCAGTTTTCAATGATGGTGTGGATCACCTGGCCATGACTGTCCTGGAGGAAATAGGTTCCAGTTTCCAATGGCTTTCTTTTTTCTCTCTCGGTTTGACGGCTTTGAACAACCTGCCTCTTAGTTTCTTCTTCACAGAAATAAGTGGAATGTACCGCTCTGGTCCATGCAACTTGCAGACTTTTGAGACTCAGTCACAAGGAGAGAAATGGGTCCCCACTAATATCTAGACCAATGAGCAAAGGCAGGTCTGAGCCCACTGGTCTTCATCGTGACCCTGGAGGCAGCCATGCCCCCTCATCATGTGCTTGTGAGCCATGGGGGTGTGCTTGTACAGGGATGGCCTTTTTAGGTTCCCAATTGGGAACACACTTGATACCATTCTGCATGGACTACTTACCCTTAGAAATTATTTTTGTAATCAGTGCATAAACTGTTGTCCCTATTCTTTAAGGTTGTGCCATAATTTATTAACCATCTTTCTCTTGATGAACAGTTACTTTACAGGTTTTTCCCTTCCAAACAATTCTGCAATAAATATCCCTGTTTGAACTTCTGTGCAACCAGATCCAAGGATAGAGTACCGGGGCGCCTGGGTGGCTCAGTCACTTGAGCATCCCACTTCGGCTCAGGTCACTATCTCACGGTTCGCACGTTTGAGCCCCACGTCGGGCTCTGTGCTGACAGCTCAGAGCCTGGAGCCTGCTTTGGATTCTGTGTCTCCCTCTCTCTCTGTTCCTTCCCTGCTTGTACTCTGTCTCTCTCTCTCTCTCAAAAATAAAGGTTGAAAGAAAAAAAAAAGGATACTGTACCTGAAGGACAAACTCTCAGAAGTGAACCTGCTAGCTAGACATTGCCAAGTGTCCTTCCAAGAGAAAACACCAGTTTGAACTTACAAGCGCCGTGAATCTAGAGAGCCTGTTTCTCACATTTCCTTCAACCCAGGGCATTTTTCATCTCCTAGGACAAGATGGCATGCCACTGTTGTTTTCCCATTCTGTCCTCTCATTGTGAGCGTGCTAGAAGCATTTTTTCCTATATGTGGCATACATTTATTTTTCTGCGTGCCATAGAAGTGTACCCCTTGTGGACAGGAGACCTCTGTTCACAAATGTAGGCCTGCCCGTCCCCCAGAGCTCAACCCCTTCTCCACTCCTCAGACGGCATCTTTATGCCTCTGTTCTTCTCATGTCTGTTCCCCCACCCTCCCTCCCATCATACCCCACAGCTCTTTCCTGTGTTCCCTCTTGCTTCGCTGCCTCTTTGCAATGTCTAGAGTGTCCAGGTCTTATGTGGGTCAGGAGGTGCTGGCGAGGGGGGATCGTGTGTCCTTAGGGAAGGAGCAGCTTTCTACTCTGCTTGTTTTAATGAGAAGAATCTTCTGACTTCCAACGCAGGGTGGCCGTAGGAGGAGGAGAGGAGAGGAAATGAAGAGAAAGAACTGAAATAGCTCCTTCCAGAAGAAAAGGGTAAGACTGGCCCAGAATTACCCTGTGCTCTAAGGGAGGGCCGTAAGAAATGCTCAGAGATGGGTCACCTGTGGGAAGTAGGGAGGGAGTGACCCATCACATGGCCCTCTAAGATGGCAGACTTGGTGCAAGTCAGGAGAAAGTCGGCTTCCTACAGGCCTTTACCCCTCGGTTGGTGCTGGGGTGGTTTGAGAGCTATCGGACAAGACACAGAGTCAGGTTTTGGGGTCTGGGCCATCTGTGTAGCAGTGGAGTTCCCTGCCACCTGCCTCTTCTGGTCCTATGTGTCTCCCCAGGAAACAAGTTCGGCAGCAGACCTCCAGTCTTACAAAGCAGCAGCCCCGCCTGGGAGCAGGGTGGCGGCCAGGGCAATGGTGGGAGCCCTGAAGATGCCCCATGGCTGCTGAGGGGGCCGCCCGGTCAGGGAGCGGAGTGGCGGGCATGGTGTGCAGTCTCTGGGTCCTGGGGCTGGCGTCCTCAGTTCTGGCTCTGGAAGGTAAGAGGGAGGGGAGACTGGAGAATTCCCTGCCTGCCACCGTGGGTGGGACATGGGAAAGATTCAGAAAGGGCAGAAAAGAGTGAAGACGTCAAGAAGGGGCAAAGGATGCGGAAGGTTTCCAAGAAAGGCTCCTGACAGACAGTTGTGCCCCTGCTGGTGGATCCAAAGGACCAGGGAGGGGAATTCTTGTTTTCCTCACGGGAATGTGGTGAGGGTTAGCAGCACCGGCCGGAGGCTTGGCCGTTGAGTGTCCCTTCTTATCTCTGGGCAGAGGTGCTTCTGGACACCACTGGAGAGACATCCGAGATTGGCTGGCTCACCTACCCACCAGGCGGGGTGAGTGGCATTCCTGACCCCAGCGCACCTCCCCCACCCTGCTCCTAGAGTGTGGAACTTGGGAGGGAGGCCCTGGGTAGAGACTAATGGGGTAAGACTCATCCTCCCGAGAGGAACAGGACTTCCGCGTGTTCTTACCCCGCTCTGCATGCAGCTAACTGTCTCCCCGGCCGCCCTCCCTACAGTGGGATGAAGTGAGCGTTCTGGACGACCAGCGACGCCTGACTCGGACCTTCGAGGCATGCCATGTGGCAGGGGCCCCTCCGGGCACCGGGCAGGACAACTGGCTGCAGACACACTTTGTAGAGCGACGAGGAGCGCAGAGGGCACACATCAGACTCCACTTCTCCGTGCGGGCGTGTGCCAGCCTGGGCGTGGCCGGAGGCACCTGCCGGGAGACCTTCACGCTTTACTACCGCCAGGCGGAGGAGCCCGATGGCCCCGACAGCATTTCCTCCTGGCACCTCAAACGCTGGACCAAGGTGGACACGATTGCAGCGGACGAGAGCTTCCCCGCCTCCTCCGCCTGGGCCGTGGGCCCGCGCGGCGCTGGGCAGCGGGCCGGGCTGCAGCTGAATGTCAAAGAGAGGAGCTTCGGCCCCCTCACCCAGCGAGGCTTCTACGTGGCCTTCCAGGACACGGGGGCCTGCCTGGCCCTAGTGGCGGTCAAGCTCTTCTCCTACACCTGCCCCTCCGTTCTCCGCGCCTTCGCCTCCTTCCCTGAGACGCAGGCCAGTGGGGCCGGAGGCGCCTCCCTGGTGGCCGCCGTGGGCACCTGTGTGGCTCACGCAGAGCCAGAGGAGGATGGAGGTGGGGGACAGGCCGGGGGGAGCCCCCCCAGGCTGCACTGCAATGGGGAGGGCAAGTGGATGGTAGCTGTTGGGGGCTGCCGCTGCCAGCCAGGGCACCAGCCCGCCCGTGGAGACAAGGCCTGCCAAGGTGAGATTCTGCCACTGTGCACTTGCCCAAGATCTCCCCACCCGTCTCCCGACCTTTGGGCGCCTCTGCTGAATACCCCAAACTTTACTTTGTCCTCCAAAAGTTCAGGAATAAGCTATTTTAGGAAAGGACTCTTGTTTTCTCCAGACTTATTTTCTAAAGCACACAAATATGGTGTCATAGGCTCATCTCAAATTTCTAGAACCTTCTGGAGACTTCCACATTGCTGAGCCTCCTGGGGCTGCAGGCCTGGGAAGTGATGGAGATCACACTCCTGGGTTATCTTGGGGTGGGTCCTTTGTCCCTATATGCCGTGTAATTCGGAAGTGATCCTCACAGGGCCAGGTGACCAGGATGCAGGTAGGAGAAGGCAGTGGGTACCAGCCAAGGGGGATGCTTCTGTTGCAGGGTAGAGGCTGCGGAAGGCCTCTGCAGAGGGAGGTTACACGGTCGAGCCAGACACCTATATCAGGGGCTTGTCCTGCCCATAGTCCCCCACCGCGCCTCACTTGTTCCACCCAAGGAAATGCAGTTCCCACCCCAGTCACCTGATGGAAGTAATCTGCCTGAGTGAGGGAGAGAGGGAAGAGGGGGTGGGGGGTAGGTCTCAGGAGGAAAGGAGAGACCTCCCTGGGGAGTGGAAGGCTGGGAGGATCCCCGAGTGATGCATGTGACGCCTGTGGGCTCCGGAGGCAGTGAGTGGAGTGAGCCTGAAGTCCTCACCCGGTTCTGCCCCTCAGCCTGCCCCGAGGGCTCCTACAAGGCCACGGCTGGGAACGCCCCCTGCTTGCCCTGCCCAGCCCGCAGCCACGCCCCCGACCCTGCGGCGCCTGTTTGCCCCTGCCTTGAGGGCTTCTACAGGGCCGGTTCCGACCCCCCAGAGGCCCCCTGCACTGGTGAGTCTCCCACCAGCCCAGGGGGTGGAAATGGGACTGGGGGCGGCAGAGAAGGGGAGCCCGAGGGCTACACATGGGGCTGGTGTGCATTTGCAGTGACTTTTCTCCTGTTCCCTCATTTTGTCCCTCCCTGCTACACACCTCCTTCTCACCTTGACTCCATCTGCACTGGCCCACCTCCTGCCCCTCCTCCCACCCACCTCCGCTTTCTGGTCCCCACCCCATGCTCTTGGTCTCCTCCCCTCTGGGCCACCCGCTGTCCCCTGCTTCCTAACTTCCTCCATCATGCCCACCCCTCCTCCCCCACCTCTACCCCAACGACTCCTTTCCCTGGCCCTCCTCGCTGCCCCCACCCTCGCCGGCCTTCCCAGGCCCGCCTTCGGCTCCCCGGGAGCTTTGGTTCGAGGTGCAAGGCTCAGTGCTCATGCTGCACTGGCGCCTGCCTCAGGAGCTGGGGGGACGCGGGGACCTGCTCTTCAATGTCGTGTGCAAGGAATGCGGAGGCCACCAGGAGCCTGGCACGGGCACCCCGGGCACCTGTCGCCGCTGCAGGGATGAGGTGCACTTCGACCCCCGCCAGAGGGGCCTGACTGAGAGCCGAGTGTTAGTTGGGGGGCTCCGGGCACATGTGCCCTACATCCTGGAGGTGCAGGCTGTGAACGGGGTGTCAGAGCTCAGCCCCGACCCTCCCCAGGCTGCCGCCATCAATGTCAGCACCAGCCACGCAGGTGAGCCTTTTACTCTGCCTGACGCCTGGCCTGGCCTCCTTACAGCCCCCTCCCCCACTCCTGCTGCCGGGGGGGGGGGGGGGGGGGGCCTGGAGACCCTCCTACTAACCCTCCACACCCCAGTTCCCTCTGCAGTCCCTGCATTGCACCAGGTGAGCCGGGCATCCAACAGCATCACGGTGTCCTGGCCACAGCCGGACCAGACTAACGGGAATATCCTGGACTATCAGCTCCGCTACTATGACCAGGTGGGGAGGAGAGGGGGTGCCCCACAGTGGGGCCAGGGGTGGAGGAGAGGTGCCAGGAAGCCTGGGGGTGGGAGCAGGGCTGAGGGGCCAGACTGGGCAGCAGGGAGTGAACGGCTGTCACCCCCAGGCAGAAGATGAATCCCACTCCTTCACCCTGACCAGCGAGACCAACACGGCCACCGTGACCCAGCTGAGCCCTGGCCACATCTATGGCTTCCAGGTGCGGGCGCGGACTGCCGCAGGCCACGGCCCCTACGGGGGCAAGGTCTATTTCCAGACGCTGCCTCAAGGTGAGAGGAAGCCTGGATGGGGAGGGGGCAGCACCAGGGAATGGTGAGGAGAGGCCCCGGGGGCCCTCCAGGCCTTGACCCCTCACCCAGCACCCTCCAGACTAGAGATCGTGTGGGCCAGGAGGCTGAGGATAGTCTCATGGCTGAGCGGCTGGCCTTTGGGTCTGTGGGTGGGTCTGAGCAGGTGCACGGTGGGGGGCGGGGGGGTATGTAGGTGTGCGTGCAGGGCAGGCCTTACCCATGAGTGATCCTGGGTGGCTGCTTCCTCAGGTGAGCTGTCCACCCAGCTGCCAGAGAGACTCTCCTTGGTAATTGGGTCCATCCTGGGGGCCTTGGCCTTCCTCCTGCTGGCAGCCATCACCGTGCTGGCTGTCGTGTTCCGGAGGTGAGCCCCTTCTTGCCGTGTCCGAGCACCGCTCACCCCACAGCACAGCCCCACGTCCTGCAGCCCCGCAGCCCACCGCAGAAACCCCCACTGGCGCCCACCTCCTGCCACCCGGCC